TAAGACATAAGAGAGAAAGATAAACCCCATAAAAATCCATGGGTCTACCAGCCCTCAGTGAAGTTTCTAGGGCCCAGTGGTGGAGCACACTGGGATATTCTTCCAGGTCAAAGACAAATTAGTCCCTTTTCTACTGATTATGACCAAAAAAAAGGAGGCATTTGTGAACTAAGGAGGCAATACATACAAACCACATCTGAATGTGTCCCTCTGACTTATTTTATGAGGGACCCATCAACTCAGTCATTTCTGATAGAGCTGGAGAGAACAAACAAGGGCTCTGCTGCAACTCCAGTCTGTAGTACAAGCTGCTCTGCCTCGGGGGCCTGATGACCTAGCGTATCTAGTGATACTGAGGATATGCAGAAAACAGGAGTGATGCACCGAGCCCCAAGGAAGCACCAATAAGTGAATCACAACACAGATCTTTGGGTTGCTACAGTCTGAAGGTTTGTGTCCACCTCAAAATTTACATTAGAATCTTAACACCCAATGAGATGGTGTCAGGAGGTACTTAGGTCATAAGGGTAGAACCCTCACGAAGGAATCAGTGTCATTACGAAAGAGGTCCCATGGAGGTCCCTAGTCCCTTCCTCCATGTGAGCATATAAGGACAAGTCTGCAACCTGGAAGAGGGCCTTCACCCAATCCACGCTGGCACCCTCATCTTGGACTTCCAGCCTCCAGAACTGTGAGAAATAAATTTCTGTCTTTCATAAGCTACCAGTCTTTGGTAGTCTGTTACAGCAGCTCCAGCAGGCTAAGAAGGGGTTCTAGACCAAAGTCACATTCACATCTGCAGATCATTGTTCTTTGAGAAACAGCTCCTGAGAAAGAATGAACACATGACGACTGACATCAAATGATCACGTGACAGGAGTAACCCATCATGAACTGTACTATTAGCCTGACTCACTGAGCCACTAGGGTTGGGCACACAGCAGTAACCCATTATCAGTGGGTATATCCATGTAGGAGATGAGCCTGAACAGGTTCAGCATGTATCAGTAAGCTGCATGAGTAGACGGCTCAGATGTCCTTTGAAAAGGAAACCCTCCCAGTTAGCAGAACTTCACACAACACACTTTGTCGTAGCCTATGTTTAAACTGCGATCTGGCTAAAAATACAGGCGCATGCCGGTTCATGGGCACCGGCTAACAGCTTAGTAGGACGTCCACGGACTTCCAAAGAACAAGATTCGAAGGCTGGTGACAAGAAGTTCTGGGAAAGAGGTATGTGGGGTAGACATCTCAGAGTGGACACAAAGCATGGAGATGTCTGTGTACCATATGGATGCCCACTAAAGGGCCTCTACTTCAGAGGAGACTTTCAGTTATCAGGTAGATGACATGGTCTGCCAATGTCAGGCAAGACACTTTCTCCAGTCACCCCAGGGCTTGTTCCGTGGACCCACATACAAATGGCCAAGGCAGCAATGATGGAGGCTCTACATGGGCCCAGCAAAAGGAACGCTCCTCATCAATGATGAGCTAGATACAGCCACTCCAGCCGACACAAGAAACCAACACTGAGCCCTCACATCCTAGGGAGACCAGCCAGTCCCCAGCAATAGGCTGGTGTATGGAAGGGGCAGGAATCTCTCCTCGCTGGCATAGTTACCTATCCTGGATATGGATTTGCTTTTCCTGCCCACATGCCAAGGCCACTAAGCACAGACTCACATGCCTTATTTAGCATCATGATGATCAATGTAACACTATGACTGATCAAAGAACTTATTAATAGCAAAAGAAACATGGCAATAAGATTAAGCCCATGAAATTTACTCATCAACAAGGACCCCATCACCCAGAAGTACCTGGCTTGCTGGAAAGGAGGAATGGTCTCCCGCAAATTCAGTCAAGGTGCCAGTTAGGAAACAACACAACAAAATATGGGTGCTCTCTTACAACAGTGAAGAATATGTTTTCCATCAGCAAACAAAATCTACACGTTTGCCTCCCCCACAGTCAAAACACACAGGTCTGGTAATCAAGTGTAGAGGTAGGAGTGACTGCCCCTCACTATTATACCTAACAGCCCTAATCCTAACAGCAGGATTTCTGCTTCCAGTCTCCATGACCCTGAGCTCTGCTGGACTGGTTCCAAGGAAGGAAGGTTTCCGCCAAATGACATACAATAATTCCATTTGGGGCAATGAAGAGGGTTACTCTATTGATTAAGAGTGAAAGATCTTAATTACCAAAGCAATATTGTGTTGCTGCCATCAGGGCAGACAGGGGTACCTAGCACCCAGGAGATTCTCTGGACGGCATCTAGGTACTTTGATACCTAATGGCGACAGCTAATGAAAACCTCAGCAACCAACAACAGGCAGGTTCAGATCCTTCAGGTACTTGACATTCTCAGACAAGCTCCAACCTGTGATTCCAGCTTCTTTGTAACAGTGGGACCACTGAATCAGAGGGATTCGTGATACACATTTTTAAATGCCTTCAAAAAGGTAACCTCACCGACTGGTTAAAAGTTGCCCCTCTAGCTGTACTTTGGATGTAAGACAGTGGTCGTTTTTTTTTTATTCCTTCATTTGATATTATGATGGATATCATTTTAATTTGCATTTCTGATTACCAGTGAGGCTGAATATTCTTATGACTCTTTACAGTACATAGATTAACTGCGTTAAATACGATGCAAAAATTTACAGATTTTGTTAGCATAAAATTTTATTTATGACTTTCAGGGGATATAAACGTTTCTAACTATATACAGTCGGACTAACAGTTATTTCCTTTTATGGTTTCTTTTATTGCTTTCTACTCAGAAAAGCTTTCCTTGCCCATATTTAAACATGCTTTCTTCCAGCTGTTTATAGTTTCTTCCTGGTATATGATTCTTTAATCCATCTGGAATTGACTTTTGTATGGTGTAAACTGAGAAAATAATTTTTTCCCACAGAGTTAACCAATTATACAGAGTAAATGTTTCTTTAAAAAAAAAATCTTTCTTTTAAGATCAAAGCAGATCTTTTTTTCCCCACTGATTACCATATTAATAGCAATGCTAAGGGGAAGGGAATAAAAACCTCTAGGAAAACCTGATCCATGCAGAGGCACTGACATCTCAGGCTCACAGCAAACTTACACAATGAACTTACAAGGCTATTCATCCTCTAAAAGGGTTATCATTTCTAGAGACACAGAAGACCTTACTTTATTGTCTGTCATTTCCAATATGAGTATGAAGCCATTTGGAGAAACAGGTGGACATTTGGGGGCTATCACATCATTTTTATCTAATCCTGACAGCTCAATTTCACTGCCATCATACTAGATAGATTTGGGAGCTGACATCATAGAAAATATGCTGAAACTTAATCCACAAAAGGCTGATGGTGATGACGGTAAGCAGGGGAAAAAAAAAATCTACATCGTGTTGCAAAGGTTATCATTGCTACTGATGGGAGGTTTCAGTTCTCAGGCAGATGGACAGCATGGTGGTTAGCTCAGAAATCCAGCTGCCAGTGGAGTTCCAAGACCAAGCGTGGAAGGGAGAATGCTTCTCTATATAAACTCATCACAGAGAATTTAAACATCTCTCTATCCTCAAGTCAGCCTCCCTTTTCCCTATCTTTATATTCAGCATTGCATTTTACATGCACACTAATGCAACACTTGCACTGCAAAGCACAAAGAAACAAACAACCACCATTTTTCTATAGTCTAGACTGGCTTCCTACATGCTTCTGAGTAATCTATGTAACTAAATTTAATCTACAGAGTCTAAACAAGAGGTTTTGATTGCCTTAAAGATTCCCTTAGATCTCCAAAATCAGCTGGTGTCTATCGCTAACATTTAATTTTGGGGTTTTTTTCTTTTTGGTTAAATTTTTTCCTTAGTTACAGGAGTGAAACACATTTATTAATCATAAGGCTAAAATAAGAACGAATAAATATAACAACATCCCAACCTCACCTTCTTCAGAAACAAATTTGGTATTATCTTTCCATACATGTTTTTCTTTTGTTAAGTTTTTATACATATACATACAAATAGTTTTGTCATTTTTATATGTTTTATAAAAATAACTTCATAAATACATAATTCTGCTCTTTCATTCTTTCACTTATCTATGTATGCTCTCTCTTCTCCCCCAAAATAATTCTGTTCTCTTCACCATTAGATCTGTATTATAAAAAATAAAGTACTCATTAGTAGCATTTTTATTATGCCAATAAAGAATTTGTGGAAATTTGTTTTCTCTCTTGTAATGTAAGTATGTACATAACAGTCACAATTTTTCCTTTTGACCCATAAATTCTAAAACATTTACTCTCTCACTGTTAACAGGAAAAACATTCTCCAGTCTCCAATCTAGAACCAGCTCAGCAATTCTAGGATGCCCTCAGTGCCCTACATCAAGTAAAAAGCCAGACCAAGAAACAGACAGTAAACTCTACTTTCCAAGTTCCTCTGGGTTTTAGGGAAGCAAGGACCAGACTCCCAAAGACGTCCATCAGGAAGCATTAGGGCGTGAAGGGAATGTAAGCTGCACCAGGACAGCTGTTCCTTTTAGAGGAAGGAGGTGAAACCCAGCGAGAATGAGAGGTCTGCCCAGTCGGGGACCAGACAGACCATACATTCCTCATCCCTGCCCTGCCTCTTCCTCTGCTTCACAGGGCTGCTCCTCCCGGCTTTCAGCTACTCACTCCAGAATCTTACACAAAGGAGAACAAAGACCGAACCACCAGCCAAGAATGCCTCACAAGGATGCAAACCAGAACCAACGTAACACCTGGCCCCGGACTGTGCTCCAATCTAGGAAGCTCCCGGTACTTCCCAGCACCTGCTTCGGTGCCAGGGCTCTTCTCTGGCTGTTTCCACACTGAGGTGCTAGGGAAAATTAAACCCATTGGAAAATCTAGCAAAAAAATGTTCAATACCAGGTACACAGGGGTCAAGACATTAATGCTAACAAAATTAATAAAACAGGTGCCAAATTCAAGTCACTGGCAAAACCATTCAGGAGACATCTTACCTCGCTTGGCAGCTGAAAAGCAGCATCTCATGGTTGTGAATCAATATATATAAAAGAACCAGGAAGGCTTTTGCTCTAATGGAAGTCGAGGGGCTGTCAAGTAAGCGGATAATTGTGGAGACAAAATCCTGTGGAAGACATTAAAAGTATTTTTTGAGAAAACATGAAATAAGCAGGGAGCAATCAACTCTGAGGGTCAATAGATCATAACAACCAAACAGATGAGAGAAAAGACTATCAGCTACTGATTTTACATTCTTAATTTGTGCTGCACTTTATACCAAATTGTTAACATGTATCATCTCACTGAAACCCGAAAATCAGCTATAAATATTTGATAACATTATCCCTACTTTTTATTTAATTGAAGTATAGTCAGTTTACAATGTTGTGTCAATTTCTGGTGTACAGCATCATGTTTCAGTCATGCATACACATACATATAGTTGTTTTCATATTCTTTTTCAGTATACGTTACTACAGGATATTGAACACAGTTCCCTGGGCTATACAGAAGAAACTTGTTGTTTATCTATTTTATATATATTCATTAGTACCTGCAATATCCCTATTTTAAAAAGGAAGATGAATCTTGAAAAGTTAGCACTTTGACCAAATTCACAAAACTGAATTCAATTCCAAGCCAGTTGAACAACAAAGCCTGCTTCTTAACTGCTCCATCACACAACTGAAAGTGTGGCAATAATTAAGTACAACAACAACAAGTCACAACTGCATGTAGACACGAACCTCGGAGCCAACCTGCCTATACAGAGAACATATCTCTAGCCTGCACAGCTGAGGTACTACAAACATAAAATGAAAACAATGATCAATATGTGACACAGAAGAAAAACCTATATTCCCGTAACATTCTTTAATTCAAGGTACAGTAACAACACAGAAGAGTAAGTGTTGACAACTCTTAGTGTCATTTTCCCTTCTAACAGACAGACTGTTCATCGTTTCAGGTGCCTACTGATATGCAAAAAGGAAATACAAATACACACACAGGTTAATGGATGTCAGTAAACAGGAATATGGAATCTTATTGTTAATTAGCATGATGGCTACAGAGAGCAGGAATATAAAGTTCCCAAGAGTCCTTAACAGAGACAAGCACCTAGAAGTGACACTGTGTGTCCAAGGTAGATGTACGCAGCTCAATTTTTTTTCACACACCAGTCCTTTTACACTGATTCATACATTGTCAGGCAGGAAGAATTTAGTCAGGTATACACTTCTATTTAGGTACAGAGATACATCTAGCTATTTAACTCTATCAATGTATCAGTCTCACCTAGTTCTGAATCAAATAATCAAGCTAATTCATCACCTAGGGTAAAAAATAGAATCAACACAAAGGTGTCCTTGAGTAATAGATCTGTTTCCACCATCCCAACATGTAGACAATAGAAAGCCCACAGTCAACTCCCAATTCTAATTTACACACTGGTCCAAGGACCACAACCACAACCAAAACCCCAATACATACACATGCATAATTTCAGAACCATTCAAATGTTCACTAACCATAAACTGAAAAACTGTTCCAGACTATAGGAGACTAAAGGAACATGATAACTGACTGCAATTTAACATCTGGAAGTTTTATTTCACAAAAAGAACATTATTGGGACAACTGCAAAATGTGAATAAGGTCTGGATTAGCTATTAATGTTAAATAAATGTTAGCTTCCTCATTTTTAAATTGATGGCTTATTTTTAGGGAGCATTCAGTGAAGTACTTAAAGAAGCATCACGTCTGTGATCTCATCTTAAATGGATAAGAACACACACACAGTAAGAGAAAGAGAAACTATAGAGCAAATAAGGTAAAATGTTAACATCTGGTGAATGTGGGTGAAGGACGTACTGCAATCCTTTGTATTGCTCATCCAACACTAAACTCAGCATCTGTCCTAAGCATGATACTCCTACTTTAAGGATCATCAATCCAATAGTCAAACTTAGAAATCTGAGCACCCTCCTTGACTCTTCCTTCCTCCCTCCCACATCCAAGTGATCCCCAGTTTCTGTGAGAACAACATTCACACTGTATTTGCCTTATTTCATTATACTTTTCCTGAATACTATAACAGGCTTTGTTTAGCTTTGCTTTCCTCCATCTATTTTACAAGTTGCAGCCACAGTGATCTTCTATAAAGGCATGTATGTTATTCACATACAAAACATTCTGAACACTTGCTACAACCCTTTAGAGAAGCTAAAATCCCTTATCAGGGCATACAGGGCCCTTCGTGGTCTGGCTTTTTATTATCTTTCCAAAATCACTTATCATATCACCACTCCTCCGTATACCCCCAACAATCACCATGAGGAAATAAACCAACAAAGAGAATACCAAACACAGAAAAGAGGCAAAAGGAATCCCAGGATGACAGCTACTATAACCTCTATGGAGAGGCCAACTGTCCATCATAGAGTTGCTCAGGAGGTTCCAGGAGAGATCCCTTTAAGGAAAAAATGTTGACAGAATACTTGATGCATCTTAATGCAATCTGAAAACAAAAAGTGATGTAATAAAAGAAAAGTTTGCTAAATGTTAATCTAACCAAAATCAATAGGCTGAGTACTTGTGTGTAGTGGGTCTGTCCTACTTGAAAACAAGCCTCAGACAAATTTAAGATTTAAAAAATAAACAGAGGGGAGTGTATAGCTCAGTGGTAGAGTGTATGTTCAGCATGCACAAGGTCTTGGGTTCAATCCCCAGGACCTCCATTAAAAAAATAAATTGAAAATAAATTAGTTAATAAACCTAATTACCTCCCCCCAAAACAAAGCAAAAAATAAAATAAACACAAAATAATTTAAAGATTTAGAAGATGCCATGGAAGATACAGATACATACATATATAGATACATACATAAATATTTATATGTATTCAAATCTTACATTGGAGAAAATGTTCATAAATAATTAGAAGAAATGCATGAAAAATGTGAATAGAAAAACTGTTAAATTCTATGTGGAAACAAAACACTATAAACAAAGACAAAAGAATCACATAAACCCGGGAATATAACTGCATGACATTTTCTGGACAAATGGCTAATTTTCTTGATATATGCATCACTAACAACAACAAAAAGAAAACAAAACAAAACAAAAAAACTAAGAGCTCTAGAAACAACTGAAATATCTGTTCTTTTCTACAGAAAATCACATTCACCTAGGGTAGTTTAAGACATGTCAAAATGTAAAGAACATAGGAAACAAAGTTTCATATAAAGCTATTCTAAGATCATGACAAAAAAAATGAGATCAAAATATTTCAGCCAGTGAAAATTCTCCAGCTTCACCCAACCAAAACAAAAAATGAAGCACAGGAAAACTGTAATATAAAAACTCAATCAGAAGGAAATATTAAATAATCACTTATTAAGTAACCAGTATCAAAGGTTACATACAAAATAACCCCATTTGTGTAATACTCTAGAAAAGGTAAAACCTTACATGCAGCGAAGACATCACTAAATGCCAGGGACTGGGATGGGAGGTGGTCTGTCTAAAAGGGAGCAGCACAAGGTCATCCTGTGGGATGCTGGAATTGTTCTGAACCCTTCTTGTGGTGGAGGTGACAAGAGTCTATGTACATGTTAATCTTCATATAACTATATTTCAAAAAAAAATGAATTGCACTGTATATACATTTTATGTATAAAATAAAATTAGTACATATATATACACACACACAATCAGGCAAATTCAAGAAAAAGCAAAGCAGGAAGTTTGTTCCTGATACATAAATAATTACATAATCATTCTTCCTGATATTCAGGGTAGAATTTAGGCCAAAACAAAGGAAACAAAACAAACAACACTTTTTAATGCCAAAGGCCACTATTCACAACACACACACACACACACACAACAGCACTGAATGCAGTCATGAAGGTTATGCTTATGGAGTAAACACCTTTAAAAAGTGGAAACTACAGGAGATGGAAGAAACAGTAGAAGATGAATCACACCACTCTCAAAGATTGTCATGAGAACAAAAAATAATAATATAGAAGAACCAAATAATATAAGTAATAGATTAGATGTTATGGATATGTATGAAAATTCAGACTCAAATAACAGAACATATACCTTTTTCTTAATCAAACGTGAAATGTTTCTTTAAGGTGACTACATAATAGGTTACAAAGAAAACTTAAATAGTGTCCAAAAAGTAAAAAATAGTAACTGTTATGATCACAATGCTATAAAAGCAGAAATTCATAAAAATGCATCAATAATCCCAAAGGCCCTTCTACCTGAAAATTTTTAAACACTCTATTAAATAATCCTTGAGTAAAGGAAAAATACAAACCAAAATTGCAGAGCTTAGAAAGATAATAGTAAAAACACTAAAAATCACAATCTATAGGACACAATTAAAGCAGTAATCAGAAGAAAATGCAATCTGTAAATACATTTGTAAATTAAAATGAAAGAATAAAAATATGTGAACTAAATTCCCAACACAAAAATCTGAACAAAAAGCAAGATAAAGCAAAAGGAAGAAAATAAAGATGCAAGCAAAAACTAATAAGGTAGAAAAAGCGGGAAAAAAGAAAATGACAAATCAAAATGCTGCCTCTTTGAAAAGTATCAAAATAAAGGACTAGCTAAATTTATCAAGAAAAGGGGGAGACAGCAAAGAAACACAAAAAGAGAAATTATCACTGCCTAATCTCAATTTAATGGTGTAAAAGTCAGCTACGTTATGTGTAGAAGTAGTTCTTATTTTACTGCTGTAAAATATTCCAGTGTGAACACAGAAAAATGTATATACCCATTTTACTCTTAGACATTTGGGTTGTTTGGAGTTTGGAACTATAATGAGTAAAGCCGCTATGGACATTCTTAAACACGTCTTTTTGTGAACATATAAATATGTGTTCTGAGAAAGAATGACAAAAATACAAACGATTTGAGAAAAAAATTTTAAAGAGAAATGGATGGCTTACACAAAGAAAACCATAGATTTCTATTGAGTGATAAAAGAACACTTGAAAAAATAAAGTAGCAGCACAATATATTGTTTTAAACAAAAAACAGAAAAACTTGGGATCTGGAGTCAAGAAACCTGAGTACAAATGCCACACTCCTTGACTA